AATGATTTGGGAGACAGCAAGGATGGCTGAATGGACTTTCAAAGTGCTGCAGTGCGCCATAGGGGCACTGCAAGCCAAATTCCCAGCTCTTGCAGTGAAGCAAAGTGTAAATCCCAGTGTCTTGAGGGGGTGGCATGTTGTGTGTAGTGTGTCTGTCTGCCAGGGCAGGGTTGGCTGATAAAGCAACTCGTCTGTCCTCAAGTCTTGCTCTCAAATTGCACATCCCTTGTGTTTGAAGACACCATCTCTGCTGACATGTTAGTAGGTACTGAAATGCCTGAAGTTCAGTTCCTGTGCGGGGCTGGGAAGGGAAGGCAAAGGAGGAGGAAAAGGAGGCATCCACACGTTTTGTTTCCTTCTGAGGAGACTGATGTAGCCCTTAATTTCTACAGCCATAGAATGAAATGGGTACAACCCTCATTAATAACCTTACTTGACTTTGTACTGAGGTTTAGTAGTGCTAAACCTGTCCTGCAGAGAAAGTCAGGGCAAGATGACCAAGGCTGGGCTGCTTCTCTGACATGGGCAGTGGCACGTGGTGGCAAATCTGACCAAACTTCCAACTGTTGGGAAAAAAGAGACTGAGAATCTGCTTTGGAGGCTGCAAGGAGCCAATGTGGGGAAGCAATACTTGGAGCAGCAGCTTGGAGGACACTGCTCTGACTGCCCTGCTGGCAAATTTTGGGTCTGTCTGCTGACTGGGGGGCTCTGGGCATTCACCTCACCGTGGTGTAAAGTGTGAGTTGTGAGCAGCCCTTTGAGGAAGGAACAGGGTCTTTGTGTGTGCAGAGTGTGAACTGCTAAGGGACCTTGGTCTCTGCCCAGCCTCTGTGTGCTACTGTAATGTAAATAAAAATAATGCAGATAACAGCGAGGTCAAGGAACATCTCTCAAACTCGATAATTTTCCCTGATGGGAGGATTTATCTGGCTGTTTCTTTGCCGAGCTGGAATTCTGCCAGATGTTGATCAATGTCCAAGTAACCACGCAGAAATACTATACCAAGGGGGGGGGGAAACAAAACCAAGGAGTTGTTGGACTGCCAGGCTGCCATAAAGCTTGCTGTAGGTTTGCAATCAAAACAAACCCATCGGGTCCTGCCCGGGAGCAAAGCATCCGTTAAATGCTGGGCACTGCCAGAGGAAGTGGCAGAGCGCTGGCTGGAGCAGCAGGAGAGCTGGCACACTGCACACTTCATGGGCCTTCAGAGCTGCTTTTAAAATAGTTCCCACCACTGCAGACAGGAAAATGTTACCCTGCTAGTGCAGGGAATTATTTACATGTTTTCTCCATGCCAACTGTGTGTCTGCTGACTGACCCTGTGTGAGGGACTCGATGGAAGAAAGGTTTTTTTAAAGGAAAAATCCATCCCACCTAACTGGGGTTTTTGATGCCTGGTTTGCTACACTGAGGTTGCAACTTAGCAGAAAAAGACTTAAACTCCAGGACTTAAAACCTCCTTTCTTTGAGGTTTTGGGTTTTGTTTTTAATTACTGTCTCAAATTGAATAAGAAGGAGAAGCAGTGTTCACTCTTTGTGTATGACAGCACTTTAGGGTATATTTTAAACTTGCAATATCAAAACCACTTGTGCAGACAGAGAAATCAAGAATACCTCCTGCTACTTGAACATTATAGGCCTGAGGAGCAGGGTAAGTAGTGATTTAAAAATTAAAATTTAAGATGATGTTACTGCAGGGCTAAAAGAAGTCTCACCTTAGCCCCTCACTGGAAGGTGCACATGGTGTCTGGTTTGGCAGTCTTCAGGCTTGTACAGTCCCTTGTACAGTGATGTCCTGAGTCACTGTCCCTAAAGGTTTAAATATTTATTGATACCAGTGCAGTTTCAGAGGGTGCTGGAATGCTTAAACAAGAGCTGTATAGTTCAATTCTACCTGTGGTTACGGAACAATTTGTAGAAGCTTGCTTAATTTTTGTCTGTGGGTCTACTAAAGTATCCTCTGGGGTGATTTGTGTGGTAATTTGGAATGTCAGATGGTCAGGGCTCTCACTTCCCTCACTTAATAAATGATGTTTCACATGGATTAGATTTCTCAGGCATTAATTTATCTTTAATTCAAAGTCATTGCCTTTTGGACATTTTTCAAAGCATTTTTATCCTAATCTTCCAGATTCCTCGTAGCCCTGCTTTTACATTCTTAAAAATGATACCATTTTGAGTTTTTGAAGGTAAAAGAATGGCTGTAGAAGCAAATTCTTAATTTTAAAAATTACAACGTGATCCAGTATCAAAGCAGCTTCCCCAGCAAATGGTGAGGAAGCTGGACCAAGGGTTAAAGGTACAGTGAAGCACATTAAAGCTTATTTATGGCAGGACAGTACTTCCAGTGCTGCCAGATAGTCCAGGTAGCTATTTCTGTCTTCTGCAGGATCCAGCAGTTCTGTGCCAGTGCTGCTGGGAGGTTTGGAGCCACTTTGGGGTGTAAAAACCGATGTGTTGGAGAATGGAAGTTAAAGAGGATCAGGGAACTGACCAAGTTGGTTGTCATGGTTCTGCCCCTCCTTGTTTTGGTAATGTTCTTAATTAAAATCCTTTCTGAGTTGTGTCACTGATGACTGTTCTATCCTTTTATGTGGACTGCACAAGCCTTGTTTAAACTTGAGGATCAAAATGGTCCTGTGGGGAGGCAGTGCCTGTCCCAGGGAGTTTTCTCTGCTGGGTGGGGACAGAAAGGAGTTCCCACTATCTCCATGGCACAGATGAGGAGCTGTGGGGTGAAGATACTGAAAGCCTTGGCTGAGGTCAGGGAGAAAATGTCTGAGAGAAGTAGGAGCTATGGATCTGTGGTTTGTTGAATTACAGTTCTGGGATTTAACACAAATTAATTAAAAATCCTTATCAAATTGAAGTTTGAGAGGTAGGACATGAGGAAATTGAAATGAAAAGAGAATCATACTTAGCCTCAGGTTATTTAAAGGGAAGACTTAAGTTACACTGGCTTGTTTCAAACTTGTGACCCAAATGCTCTCTAGCAGTAGGAATTGCTCTCTGTGGGTGTTTTATTTCCCCTCAATCCTTGCACTGGATTCAGTTTGTTAATCAAGAAGACAGCAAACAAAATGCTTCAGTGGTGGTCACCAGGGACCTGCAGCCAGCCTTGCATTCTCTGGGATGATGGATGTTGCTCAGAAACCTGAATCCATGCAGGGAGCTCCCCAGAAGGAGACTGAGTGAAACTTCCTAATTATCTTTTTTTTGTTGTTGTTTTTAATTCTTTGTCTATTTACCCCCCTCGGTCTGAAGATTGAATTTTGCAATATTTCTGGTGCTGTTTTGACTTAATGGAACACTGGGAGAAAATCCTTCCCCAGTTTCTTCCAAATCTGAAATCCCAAGTAACACTCTAGTTATGAAATTCCTTGTCCAGGGGATGCCAGCATCCCTTCTGGCTGCTTGGTGATCACCCTGCCTGTCACCAGCAGCATGAGCACATAAGAAACCAGTCCTTATGGAACTAAGCTGGGCTCCTGAGTTATCAAAAAACAGGGACCAGAAGCCTGATTTCTGGAGCTATACCTAAATCCATGGTACAAGAGTCCTCCTGGCATTTTTCTCCATCCTTGGAATATAGTGGGTGTTGAACAAATGGTGGCAGCATGAGAACTGGACTTTGTTTCCTGCACAAATAATCACATGTATTCACACAGGGGTTTGGTTTAGATTTTTAGCAGTTTCCTCCCTCTCTGCTGCAGAGCTGTTTGTTTGTACACAGCTATTTTGGTAAAATTTCCCCGAGTTAGGTATGTGTTTACTTTTTGCCTTCATCTAATCAGCAGCTCACAGGGTAAGTTGATGTTCTATATTTAGTCCAGATACTCAGTAGAGATGATTAGGGCTGTATTAAAGCAGAGGTTTTTGGGTTTTTCCTAGGATGTCTCCCTGCTTTTTCATTCCTGTGTTGCTGCAGCTTCTGTCCCTGCTCACGTTTCTCTGTTCAACCAAGAAGTGTATGTCAGAGTATTTGTATGGCTTTCTAAACATATTTGAAATAATTTGCCTCTAGAAAGTGATTGTGGTCTGTTTGCCATGAGAAGTGTAGCTGCAGTCCTGATGTGAGCTGAAATATCCAATGTTTATGGAAGATGACATAGCAAAGCTGTTTACCATATGCTACACAAGGCACAGTGATACTGGGCTATTTTTACCTCTGCAGTTTGCAGAGGGAAAAGCAGAATACAATAATGCAATTTATGTATTCTCCTCTATTTCAAATGTGTCTTTGAGAGAGAACATGACAGCACTGTCTGAGCCCGGTCACGGGATATCAGTGTAACACCAGTTATTATTTGAGCCTGGATAGTGAAACTTTAATATAAAACTGGGGTCAAAACCAGTCAGGTGCATGCATTAAGAGGCATAATAAGACATTTATGAGATTCAAAGTGCAGACCACTTCAAGTTGGGTTGTTTCTGGTGACACCTTTCACTCTCAGCAGTTCACAGCATCTCACTCTGCCTCTTCTTTCATTTCCCTGGGCTGAGGTCCTCTGCCAGCTGTCATCTGCTCTTCATTACGGGATTTCAGACTACCCCTTGCACCAGAGCAGAGCCCTGTGAGCTGCCTGGGGGCCAGGCAGCACGGGTCTAGAGACACTGCAGTTCAGTTTACATGGAGCTGGAAGCTATGGATTTAGCAGCTTGCATCAGTGCATTCATGGAGTGTGCATTGCATCCTGTATTCCCTGACTGGATTCTTAGGTTGCCCTGAGTGTTTTCTTGACATGAAGATGCTCTCTGAGCCAGCTAAAGCAAGAATTAGTCCCATGAAGCATGCTGTGTCTCTGCAGGCTTTGAATTTGGGAACTGCTGTTCCACTGTCTCTTGGGTCTTGAACTGTTCCCATCTCCAAGATAAATTGTGTTCCAGAGCAAAGTCAGTGGGGTAAAGAGCCTGACTTTAAATACTGTCCACAGAAGAAGTGTCTCAATCCGCCTGCTTCAAAAATCTGTATTTACACCCTTCCCTCTCTCTCTGTCTAGTTTGCTCTAGGTTGTATGGTTGCACCCTGGAAATGGGATGTCAGTCCCATTCAGGGAGCATAAAGGAAGAGAGAAAATCTCCCCGTTGCTGCCGCAGTGACAGCGAGTGAGAGCCCGAGCAGGAAGATGTCGGCGGTCGCCTCAGCGATCCAGGCTCCTCAGGGCCCCGTGAATCCGCCGCCTCCAGAGGTGACAAATCCCAACAAACCTGGCCGAAAGACCAACCAGCTGCAGTATATGCAAAATGTTGTGGTGAAGACCTTGTGGAAGCATCAGTTTGCTTGGCCTTTCTACCAGCCTGTTGATGCAATTAAGCTGAATTTGCCGGTACGTTGCTGTCGTCTTCTCAGCCTAGAAAGCTTTGTGTTGGTCAGGTCAGTTTTGGGGTTGCTTAGAGGGGAAATATCATCACCTGGGATGGTGTTGGGCTCAGCCAGTGGCTTCATGTGCAGCAAGAGAGGCTTTGGTGTTCTAATCCAGAACAAGAAATGACACTGCACAGCCCTGCAGCGTCCCCAGGCTAATCACAGCCTCTGCAGGTGCTCCAGACCAGCCCAGGGAGAAACTGGGTTAACAGGTGGAAACCTTTTAAAGGCCAGAATGCTCTTAAAATTAGAGACTGAAACTTTGAGCACTGTTTTAGCCAGCCCTGATAAACTTCTGTGAGTGCCAGAGGCAGCTTTTTAAAAAGGGAGGCAGAAATGCTGATTCCCAGACTGGAGGTTGTGTGTTTTGGAGTCAAGTTCATAATAATGGTAACACTAAAAAGATACAAATTAGAAAATAAATGAATATATATTTACATTTACAATTTCCACAAAGTTTAGGGGTGTGTTTTTTAGGGGGGAGGGGAGATGAGGAGAAAGCAGGGATGTGAACAGAACTGAATCAGATGTAACATCTTCCGTGTTTTTCCAACAGGATTATCACAAAATAATAAAAAACCCCATGGACATGGGGACGATCAAGAAGCGCCTGGAACACAACTATTACTGGAGTGCCAGTGAATGTATGCAGGATTTCAACACCATGTTTACAAACTGTTACATTTATAACAAGGTAAAAAAGCCCAGAAAAGCCTTTAGAAAACACCCACCTACCCCTGTTACAGTGCAGATTTTGAGCAGGGCCGGTTCTGGGCCCTCCTTGCAGGGATTTCAAATGCCACTAATTGCAACCACGTTACTTGAAATGCACAAAGCTGTCTTTGTGCTGCCTCTTTCTTCCCCCAGACTAGTTACAATGGCAAATATGCCTTTTAATTATAGGTAGATTTCTGTTTTGGGGTTATGCAGCAAGTTTTTACTCCTTTTATTGCCAGTTAGGAGTTTTCTGGGATGAGCTGCACTTAATGCAGTGCTCTGCAGGTGTTTTGAGGTGCTTTAATGCTGTTAGACTGTCTGGCACTAAATAGTATCTGTTAGCAGCAGAAAGGAGTTCAAGAATCATAACTCTGTTCTTTGACTCTGCATAAATATGTTCATACTTACACACATTTAGATTGCTTATTATTATTATTTTGGGCTTGGCTTGTTTGCTGTTTTGTTAGATTGTTAAAATTCTTTGTGTTCTGTTTTCTCCAGTCATTTGTCATCATAGACCCAGACTGGAGAACAGCTGAAATAAACAAATTAATTAGTTTGAGCCACAGAATGTGTGTTTAGCCTCTTCCCTTGGACCTGCTGGCAAGCAGGGAAGGACAGCTCATCCGTTCCAGTTTGCTGCTTCCACACTGCTGCACTGGATACTGGTTTATCAGGCTCCTTCTGAACTCCTGATAATTCTCTGGATGCAGCACACTTAGGGGCTGTAATTATTGCATGCTAGAGCAGAACAGAAGAGCAGGAGAGTGGCAAGCAAGGAGGGAGAAGAGCTAATCTGTTTATTGTCAGCGTTTGAATACCATAATTTATTTGAAGGGCCTCAGTGTTTTCTAAGCCTGGTCTTCAAGCTCACTGCTTCAGATACGTGAACGATACAACAAAGGCTCATATTCTTCTTTGTGCAGCCCACAGATGACATTGTCCTCATGGCCCAAGCCCTGGAGAAGATATTTCTGCAGAAGGTTGCCCAGATGCCTCAGGAGGAGGTGGAATTGCTACCCCCAGTTCCTAAAGGCAAAGGTCGCAAGCCCTCAGCGGGCACACAGAGCACAGGTAGGGATCCATGCGGGGCCAGGGGATGGTGGGAGCTGTTCCCAAGGCCTGATCCACCTCCTGAGCTGCTGGACTTTGCAGATGGTGAAGAGGCTGGGAAGGGAGAGCGTGGTCTCACAGTTAAAGCAGTGGGGAGGAAGGTGGGAGGTGTCTGGGAGATGCTCGCTCAGGGTTTCAGGGCTCGTGTGTCTCAAGGCCACCCTGCTTTTGTCAACACCAATCTTGCCATCTGTGATTTGCCCATCCAGGCACCACTTCAGGGAGGGAGGGCAGTGCTGTTGCTTCTCTATGCAAAGTAGTCAGAAATGCCAGTCTGCTGCCAGTGCCAGAGCATGGCATAGAAAGTCTTTACAGATTTGGGTTTACACAGCTCACCCTGGGTCCTGGCAGGAATCGGGCACAGCAGAGACTTGGACTCAAATGTTGCTAATTCCCTAAACCCTGTATATTTTCCTTTTGCACACATGGTTGCAACATCATAAAATTAAAGGATTTATTAAGCCATTGCAAAAGGCCATGTACACCATTGCATATCAGTGGAAATTAAGTTTAGTTCAGCTTACCTAGAATTGACTTTAAATGGATTTAGGACTAAAATGTCCAAGCATAATAAAGCAGTTCATAAAGGACCTTGTGTGGGCTGAGTTAAATGATGAGAGTAATTTTTTTTTCTCTAAACAAGGTCTAATTGTTGCTCTGGGAAAGTCAATTGTTCCTCTGTTTTCCCACATTTCAGGTGCTAAATGGAGCTATAAATCTGTCCAAGCTCAGAGACATTAATGATGATGTATCTTTTCAACATCCTTTGATAAAATACAGGAGGAGGTTATTAGGTAGTAGGTTTGTCCCCCTTTATGTCACACCAGCAGGCAGGTTTTTAGCAGTGCAGGTGTAACATCAGAGACATTGAGGCATCAGGAGGCTTAGGCTCTACTGAGAATCATAAAATATGGACTTGGAAGGGCCCCACAGGAATCACTGAGCCCAACTCCTATCCCTGCACAACCCCAAGAATCCCACCCTGTGCACTTGTGGCAAATCTGAAGTGCTTTGGCCTCCTGGGTGCTCAGGTGGCTCAGGGCAGTGGTGGTTGCCATTTGTATGGTGTGAACACCTCCCACTGTCCCATCTCCTGCTCTTCTGCTGAGCTCAGTGCAGCTCTGGGAGCATCCAAGGGGTGAAAGCATTTCAGAGCAACACTCCATATGAAAAGCTGCAATTATTTTGCGTGTGGCTGACCTAAACCCATGGTACAAGCACTTAGATCAGAGATTCCTCACTTTTATTGTACCCTGGGTATAACAGCACCGAGCAAATCCCACTTTGTGCCCTCCCTGGGATCCCTGTGCCAATTCTTTGCTCCCAGTCCTCTCCCAGCCGTAACCACCAGCGCCTTTCCCCTCTCGTTTGAAAGGAGCGCAGCAAGCCGTGGCCGTGTCTTCCGTGTCCCCGCCGGCCCCGTTCCAGAACGTCCCTCCAGCCGTGTCTCAGACGCCCGTCATCGCTGCCACCCCCGTGCCAACCATCACCGCCAATGTCCCGCCTGTCGCCGCCCCTGCCGCCGCCGTCCCGCCCCCGCCCGCCGCTCCGATCATGCCCGTGGTGCCTCCCACGCCCCCGGTCGTCAAGGTAAATGCGGGCACTTCCTCTGCAGGAGAGGGGCTGCACTGGACCCCTCGCTGCTGGATCGCTGCTTTCGTCGCTGGGTGTTGAGTTGGAGAGGGTTGAGAGCGGTTCTGCCACTTTTCACAGGGGATGGCACCTGTGCTTGCTCCAGCCTCTCCTTTCACAGCCTTCCCCTGTGCTGCTGCTCCAGGGCTCTTGGGATTCTCCCCATTTTACACTAAATAGCTGAAAGCATCTCTTCCCACTCTTAACTGACTCCTCATTTTATTTGGGCTGTTCCTTTAAGGTTTGCAGCCCAAAGCATCTCTTCCCACTTTGACTGAGCTCCTGATTTTACTGGGGCTGTTCCTTTAAGGTTTGCAGCCCAAAGCATCTCTTCCCACTTTGACTGAGCTCCTCATTTTATTTGGGCTGTTCCTTTAAGGTTTGAAGCCCAAAGCATCTCTTCCCACTCTGACTGAGCTCCTGATTTTACTGGGGCTGTTCCTTTAAGGTTTGAAGCCCAAAGCATCTCTTCCCACTCTGACTGAGCTCCTGATTTTACTGGGGCTGTTCCTTTAAGGTTTGAAGCCCAAAGCATCTCTTCCCACTCTGACTGAGCTCCTGATTTTACTGGGGCTGTTCCTTTAAGGTTTGCAGGCTCCAGCATTGGGAATGTTCCTCTCTGCTTTCAGCCAGTTCAAGACAAGCCTGTCACTCCAGTTGGAGGAGACTGATGTTGCCTGCAGGTTTTGGGTGCATTAGTTCTGTCTTCCTTACTGAGTAATCTTTTGGGAGTTGTCACTGGTGTTTTGCTATTTATTATGTTAATTTATGGGTAAATGAAGACATTACCTAAATAATTGAAATTTTCTTAGCAAGCTGTGAATTGCTTTAAAAATGATGAAAGCATAGCTCAGAGAAAGCTGGGGGTCTTTTTATCTAAACTGTGGAATTACCTGCCACAATTTTGGTTGTGAGGTTGCTTGGACCAGCAGAATTGTTTTGTTGTTTAACCCAACAGTTTGGGAATTACTAGAGAAATTGTAAGTTAGATCTTGCAGCTAAGCTGTCCTCCTCAGAAACCTGTCTCACATTTCAGTTTCTATCCAAATAACTTGCTTCTGAGAATCAATTTCATTTTAAAACTCAAGGATGAACCCAGAAGTGAGTTTGCCAAATACACACTGCAAAATTAATTCTGCTTGGGATTTACTTAAGATTTCCCTTAGATTTCTCTGAGGAACTTCTTCCTCCCTATCTTCCTCTCCAGAGAAATAAATCCTTGATAGGAGCACGAGAGAGCTGGCTGGACAGTCCCAGCTTGAATTTATGTGAGAGGGTTTATTTGCTTAAGGCAAAATCTACCTTAATACACCCACTAAATACAGGGGAGTGAGGGCTCCTGGGTCTTTGGTGATTAATATGCTTTGGTTCAGAACTTACAGCCTGATCCTGCCACTGGGGACTCAGACTTGTGCTTAAGTTACTGACACTTGCTCAGTCCCCATGCATCAGCTGAGGTGCAGTAATCAACTGGGTGCCCTCCTTTCCCTTGGCAAACACCAGGTAAGAGTCCTGGCTTCCCTCTCAGGGAAATAACACATTTCAGAGCATGGTTGGGCTTGGGTTGGAGCTGTGCAAATGGCTGGTTTGTGTGGCTCAGGTGACGTGCAGTGTAGGAGCCTCTAGTCACAAATCCCATTTATCCCAGTGAAATAACTTGAGGGTTTTTTCTGTCAGAGGAACAGGCAAAACTAAGGATGAGCTGTGCTAGGGTTTCTACAGGGCGTGTCCTCATGGAGCCTGTCCCTGTGCTGTTTCAGAAAAAGGGAGTGAAGCGGAAAGCAGACACCACCACGCCCACCACGTCTGCCATCACTGCCAGCAGGAGCGAGTCCCCCACGCCGCTGTCGGACCCCAAACAGGCCAAAATCATCGCGCGCAGGGAGAGCGGCGGCCGCCCCATCAAACCACCAAAGAAGGACCTGGAGGATGGAGAGGTCCCTCAGCACGCAGGGAAGAAGGGCAAACTCTCTGAGCACCTCAAGTACTGTGACAGCATCCTCAAGGAGATGCTCTCCAAGAAGCACGCAGCCTATGCATGGCCCTTTTACAAGCCCGTGGATGCAGAGGCCTTGGAATTACATGACTATCACGATATTATCAAACACCCCATGGATCTCAGTACTGTGAAAGTACGTCCTCATTTACCACCTCTTTTTTCAGGGGGTCCCTCTGGTTGCAGAGGACTGGCTCCTTTGTGGGAGGGGGAAGGGGAAAGGGTGGAAACAATCTGTTTGGATACCAGCTGGATATTTTTATATTGTATTTTTATATTTTGTTTCCATCCCCTCTCCCTTTTTTGCCATAACCTGGGACAGCTTTTTTTTCTGCCCTGCAAAGCAGAATGTACACAAAGCAAAGATGATGTACACAAAGCAAAATACAATGGCATCCTCTCCTCTTTGTGGATAGTCCAGGTATTTAGCTGGTGTTCTGAGGATTGTGTTGCACTCTGAGAAGAGGAGGTGCTTTATTTCATAGGATTCAATTGATGGTATCCCATTTCCAGAAGCTGCTGACTGCCTACTTGGTGGTGGCAGATAGGCTTACACTGAGCAACTCCAACTGGAATGTGATGGTGCTCAGGGAGATATGTGCTGCTTTTGTGGTTCATGCTTGGCTCCTCAAGAGTTTAGCTTAGTATGGTCCAATATTCTTGTTTTTCCCAGGAGGTTTGGAGGTTTGCTGAATCCCTCCATGAAGCAAAGCCATGTCTTTATAGTTTCCACCTTCTTGTGAGCCAGGCACTGGATTCTGTGTTGATGGAGGGGAGACTTCCACGTGCAGGAGGTGAAGATGTTGTTACTGGCTTTCACTGGCATTGTCAGAAGGGTTTTAGTGCCAGATGAGCCAGTGCCTGGGATTGTCTGAATGCCCAGGTGACAGAAGGGCAGCTGTGGTTGTGATTCCTGTCATATTCCTTGGCAGATCCTGTGTGGTACCCAGGAGCAGCATGTCACACTCTGATGTGCCTTGCATCCATCCTAGGGCTGCTCTGGGTCTCCAGACATATCTGCACCCTGCTAGTTGAAGCCCCAGGTCATTGCAGGAAGATTAGAGATGGACAGGGTGAAATCCTGGCCCTCTCAAATACTTCCGTGTGTGCTTAGGTGATTTCTTATTGCAAGAGGTTATTGTGCTGTGTTCTGAAAAATCTAGGTGCAAAGTTGTGATTCCTTGGGTTGGTGATTCCTTCATGCTTAAATCTCTTTAAGGTCCTGACTTCATTCTTTTAAAATTGTACGCCTCTGCCCCTTTCTGGTAAGTGCAGGTGATATCCTCCCTCTGCACCTGACTAGTGTAGGGTAGAAAATTGGAGACAGGCTGATGGCAAACCCAGTGGAGTCTTTTACACCTACAGACTCTGGGCTTCTCATTCCACACGGTAGTATTTTTCTTAATTAAGTTGTTTGAAGTGCTGTCTGGTATTGGTTTTTTATGGAGTGTTTTATTGTCATTGCTCTTGGCCTGCAAATCATGGTGTGACTTCTCAGAGATGCAGCTCATAATATGTTCACTGTGTGGAACAGAAACCTGCCATTTGCAGGCAGTGTCATTTTCCAGTGTCAGAGACTTCCACTGTGGCTCTGAAAGGTTTTTAGATTTAATTCTGCCCAAGTGACAGTGGCTGTGATAAAGCAGCCCAACTAAGGGCCTCCAAACTAACCTGGGAGGAATTATGTGAGAAAGCAAAACACAAGCATTGCTGCAGCTGTAACACATCTTGTCTCTTATTTCTGTGGCTGTGTTAGGTTTGATTTTCCCCAGAGACTATCCTTCATGTCCAGGAGCATTTTTTTCCCTGGACAGGAGGATTTGGAGGTTGTTTTCTCTGTGTGTGGTGGAGGAGGCAGGTTGGCTGTTGTGACTGTGCCAGGGACAGGTGAGATTGAGGGGCTGTAGCTGAGCTTGCTGCAGCCAGGAGCAGAGGGATGTGCTGGAATTTTGTGCTGGAGCTCAGACTGAGAATGGGAACAGCTGAAGGACAGGATCTGTGAGCTCACCTCCACCTCAACTCCCTTTATCAAAGAAGGAAAGGGCAGAACTGCTTGGAGTAGGAAAGGGTGGAAGTGTGAGGAGAGAGAGGCAGCAGCTGTAATTCCCTGTGAGGAGTGGGAGGCACTGAGGCAGGAGCTGCTCTGCCCTGTCCCCAGGCAGGCAGGGAGCATTGCAGAACATCCCTGTCCCCCTCTGTGGGGCTGGGGACCCTGGAGCACCTCTTCTGCTCCATCCTTGGCTGCCAGGTCCCAGCAGTGACATGGATGTCTCTGCCTTTGCTTTACTCAGAGGTGAACAAGCAACAAGCCTTGCTGTGCAGGAGGATTTCCACAAGGTGTTTACTTTTGGAATAAAGCGCTTCCTCCAGGGATGTAACTCTGCTCACCTCTTAATTTTCCTGCAGTGAACTTCTGCAGTTTCAGAGCAGCTGAGTTCAGAGTCCTAAAAGTGAGGAGACATTCTTTGTGTCCTCTGTGGGCAGGACAAGACTTAGAGCAAGGGACACGTTAGACATGAAGAAACAAATTTATGAAAAGATGATTTAAACAATTGATTGAGGGGGAAAATGAGATTGCTGTCTGTGGGACAGAGGATGAGTGAGCTGCCCTGCCTGATTCCTGATTTCCAGTTGTAAATGTAATTACTTTTTTTTTTTGTAAGCAGCTGGATATCTCCAAGTGTATTTATAACAAGATATTCCAGCCCACCAATTCAAAGTGCTTTTCTTTCTTTTGTTAAGCTAATTATTCTTTACAAGAAAACAAAACAAAAATCCACAGATTAAAAATTGTAGGGCTAGAAAACTGTTGAGTTTGGATGAAAAGCAAAGCCTCAGACACTGGAATGTATTTCATAGGCAATAATCAGGCCCTGAGTATGCCAAACAAATATAAAAAGGCCTTTCATGCAGTCAGATGTATTTTAAAATAAATGGGCCCTTTGGTTTGAACATATGTTTTGCTTTGGAATTGGCCTGAGAGGCTTTTCAGACAGGAGCACCACAAACCTATTTCCCTTTCTGCTTCTGTGCTGTGCCTTCCAGGCTGTCTCCTGGTTTATTCACCAGGAAAATGAGGTCTCCTGACAAAAGTTTGACAGATGTCTGGCTGCAGCAGGGATGTCACCACTCTGCACCAGGTCCCTCAGAAGCTAAATTCCTGGAGGTGAAATTCTGCCCTTTTCACAACAAAAACAGCTCCAGGAGTCATTGCAGTGTTTCAAGACAGTCAGAAGGTCTATCACAGCTGTGAAATTTCTGTAGTTCTGTGAAAAATGGGAATTTTGCTTGTGTTAGGGGTGGGTGACAGACCCTGAGCATCCCTGCTTGCCGTTGGGATGGGGATGTCTGTCCCCATCACGTCCCCAGCCTGTCTGCCAGTCACCCTTCCCTTCTCTGGGCACACAGGTGCCCAAGACATACAAAAGGGAAGCCTGTAAGCACTTGGCAAACAGAGAATTTCTTTAAACCCAGGTCTTTTAAATGCAAATGAAACCTAGTGTTAGCTTCTGGTTCCTTTCAGCAGGAGTAATTGGAGCTAAGGTTTTATACATAGTAGTAATATATGCATAAAATCAATTAAGTGCTAGGAATGCTATAAACTGCTCTCTAAAGCCAAGTCATTGAGTCCCAAACAGCAAGAGAAATGGCTGGAAGTGAGAGCTGAAAAATAAGAGAAAGGTACAAGGTACAAATATTTGACATTTATCCTCCCTGCTCTAGGAAATAACATTATGAGTAGGTTCATAAAAGGTGAAGCCTGTATCCATTTCTATCAGTTGGACTTTTAAATTAAGAGTGGGAGTTGTAGTTTAACTGTAAATGCCTATTTTGCTGTAGGAACTGCAGAGCAAACCTCCTGCTCTCTGCTAGCAGGAAGTCAGAGTTAGATTTTCTTGATCTTTTCTGCCCTTTCAGATTTACAAGGGAAATATATCCAAGCATATGTAGAAATACACACTTCAGGTACTCCTGTAATTGTAACCTGCTTGTTGACTCTTGCCCTTTCCATCCATGATCCTTGTTTCTATTAGTTCCTGATCCATTTTTTTCTGAACGATTTTTCTAATAATTTCTAAATGTTTTCTGGTAGAATGTGGATCCTGACAGATTTATATTCTACTGCTTAGAAAACAAGGCAAATTAGAATCTTAGTGTTTAAACTGCTATGAGATATCAACTTTTTTGGTTGCCTGGTGTTTGTTTGCTTGTTTTATAAAGCAGAAACTCTGAATGTTATTTAGGAACCAACAACCCAAATCAAACTTCCATTCTCTTAGATGGGATTTTGGAGGCTCTTCTGAGGTTCATGTGTCCTCCATGCAGTTGCTACAAATGCCTTTTGCTTATGGCTTTTCTTTTTTCTTTCCCCTTTGGCTTGTTTATTTGCAGAAAAAAATGGACAGTCGGGAATACCAGGATGCACAAGGTTTTGCAGCAGATATTCGGTTAATGTTCTCTAATTGTTACAAGTACAATCCTCCAGACCACGAGGTGGTGGCCATGGCCAGGAAGCTCCAGGTAAAGGTGTTGGCAAATGCATCTTCCAGAGTGTTTTTAGTTCAGGTACAAGGTGAGATCCAGGTGTGGATCTGCTCTTGGCACCAACAAGGGAGATTCCTCCAGCCCTTGGAAAGAGCCTCATGCTCTCTGCAGGACTGGTGTACTCTTCACATGGCATGGGCACAGTGCCATGTTTGGCTCCTAAAATACAATAATCCTTGGTTTTAAAGTAATTGGGGGATTTTCTTGGGCTTTCCAGACGGGCAACCATATTCTGTATATTATTATTTACATGTAGTGCACAAAGACCCTGCCCCTGATGTATTTAAGAGAACAGAGTGAGCTGTGTGTGGCCGAGACTCCTTTGGTCACCAATTTTCCTCCTTTTTGCAGGATGTCTTTGAGATGAGGTTTGCAAAAATGCCAGATGAGCCTGCAGAGGCCCCCCCTCCACCTCCCCCAACAGCCCCAGTGGTGAGCAAAAGCACAGAGAGCAGCCACAGCAGCGAGGAGAGCTCCTCAGACTCCGACAGCTCCGACTCCGAGGAGGAGCGGGCGACTCGGCTGGCCGAGCTCCAGGAGCAGGTACTGCACCATCCCAGCTGTGTGTCTGTGCATTAGACAGAGCACAGCAGCAGGAATTATGTCCTGAAAAATCCCACCTAGGCTGGCGTGCAGGGGAACATTCACAGCCTAATGGGTAAAGCATTCAGGTCTGCACTCAGTGCATGTTGGATGTAATGGTAATTTTCTTCAAGGTGGTTTTTCTCAGTGCTGATGCTCTCTCCTTCCTTCTGGGATCCCAGAGTATGAACTGCTTGACTTTTGGCTTTAGGATATACTTACACCTTGGGATGTAGAGGGAAGGGTTTGTGGAGGCAGCAGTTACCTTGCCTTGATGGTTTTTCCCCTGTCTCCTCCTCAGCTGAAAGCCGTCCATGAGCAGCTGGCTGCACTGTCCCAAGCGCCAGTGAACAAACCAAAGAAAAAAAAAGAGAAGAAGGAGAAAGAGAAGAAAAAGAAAGATAAAGAGAAGGAAAAAGAAAAGCACAAAGTCAAAGCTGAGGAGGAGAAGAAACCCAAGGTGGCTCAACCACCAAAACAAGCCCAACAGAAGAAAGCCCCAGCTAAGAAAGCGAACAGCACAACCACAGCTAACAGGTGAGAGCCAAGGTGCCTTGAGGGGAGAGCCAAGAGCTTCCAGCTCTGTCCTTAATTCTTGGGGAAGCTCAGTAGTTGTTAATTTGCTGCTGAATACTGTTCCCATTCCCAGACAACTCCAGGGAGTCTTTAACTTGGAGCTGGCAGTGGAACCAGTGTGTTTTCACTGTCCAGCTCTTTGAATCCCTGCCTGATTGCTCTCAGATAAGGTTTTGGGGGTCGCCTTTTATGCAGCCACCAAGAACGTGCCATTTCATGGCTGCCCCCCTGCTGCTACTTGGGCTCATTGTCACACTTCACAGGGCTAAAATATAATAGGAGCACAACAGCTGATCTCAGGCTGCTGAACTTTTTCAGCACTTGTGGTGCTGTTCCAGCCATCTGACAAGAGCTTCAAAGCCAAGAGCACGGGGATGTTTGTTACGAGGGAGTCAGGGGAAGAAAAAAAAATTCATTGCTGTGTCCCCATGAATGTTTTCATGCTTGACAACCTCCCCAGGCAGCCCAAGAAAGGAGGCAAACAGGCATCTGCAACCTACGACTCGGATGAGGAGGAGGAAGGGCTGCCCATGACCTATGACGAGAAGCGACAGCTCAGCCTGGACATCAACCGCCTGCCCGGGGAGAAGCTGGGCAGGGTGGTTCACATCATCCAGTCCAGGGAACCTTCCCTCAGAGACTCCAATCCCGACGAGATTGAAATAGATTTTGAAACTTTGAAGCCCACAACGTTACGAGAACTGGAGAGATACGTGAAATCTTGTTTACAGAAAAAACAAAGGAAACCATTTTGTAAGTTAACCTCCCCCCAGCAGCTCTTGGGCTCAGCTGTGGAGTCAGGGCATCTGTGTTGAGATTCTCTTATCCACCTGTTGGGTATGTGGTGACAGGAGTTTTTAGAGATTCTTTTCTCCCAAGGAAATGTACAGAAACTTCCTGTTTTTCTCTGTTCTTTCTTCCCATGGTGTCCTGCTGCAGAGACCTGGAGAGCCAATGTGTTCCTCTGCAAGACCTGTGGGATGCCTTTATTACTTACCCAGGCTCTGGAAGGCCCTGTGAAGGTTTCAGTCTCATTGTGTCAGGTGTTACATGCATACATCTGGAAGGATCAGTTTCTTATCCTGAATAGTTTAGCATCTAATGAGGCAGGAAACAAAAAACATGGTTGGGATCCAAACCACCAAGGCAATAAATGATTTGCACAAGGTTACCTGGTTATCTGTGGATTCTGGGTGTGTCTGAGTTGTGTATTCACCCCAAAACTGCTCTTCCTGTGTGTCCTGATCACCACATTGGCCTCACCCTCTGTCAGTTCAGAGAGTGAATGGCAATCTGCTGCTGAGTGTGTGGTTCAGTGTGGGACAGACTTGTGTCTTGCCAACAAAGAAAGTTCCTGCAGCCCCTGGAGAGTTTAGCTCCAGCTGGACAGCAGTAGGATCACTTACCTGAAGTGCTCTTGGCCCTCTTGGTTAAGGGAGTTTTGCTTTTAAGATTGTGACACAAAAGCTACTCCTTGCTCTTGCAGAGCATCTCCATTCCTTCCTCAGGATTTTCAGGAAGGCCTAAGCAAAGCACAGACTTCGACCTTTCTTTTTGCTTTATTTTTTTTCCCCCTGAATCCTTACCTGTTGGCCTAGCTCAGGAAAGGATTTTCCAGAGTTCTTAGGAACTGGAAGCATCCTTCAATTTTGGAACCAGAGCACAGAGTAACACAGATAACCTCAGATATCCACCCTGTGAGCCTGGCATGCCTGAGCCTGGCTGGACTCCTGTGCTGAGTGTTCCCTCTTAGGACTCTGCTTTCCAGTTTTCTTTTTTTGGTTTTTTTTTTGGGTTTTTTATACCACTGCTTTAAAGCAGCTCACAGAAATGTAGGTATTTCCTTGCTGGATCAGGCAAAATATCTGGCTCCTGTCTTGTGCTTCCAATCCTGGCCAACACCTGTGTTCAATTACTCCTCCTTCAGAGGAATATTTCCTTTCCTTGGCAGTGTGAGTGTTGCTGGTCCTTCTCACCCTTTCCATCCTGATGCAGTTACATTCCTGTTGTCTGCCAGCCTTTGCCTCAGTTGGTTTTTAATTTGCCTTTGTTTGTTTTGTTTTCTATTTAGAGCAACATAAACCACAGTAGATTCTTGCGTGAGGGGATCGGAAGTTTTCATGGCAGATGCTTTACTCCTGACAACCTTTAATGGGACACTTTATTTTACAGGGCAGAAAACCCATGTAACAATTCTGTAATTACAAATCTGTAATTATTGACCATATAACTGGCTGGTAAGTAACCTGTAATGACAAGGTTATTACATGGATATTTCTATCTTCTAAAATACTTTCCAGAAGATCTCTCTTAAAAAAATTGCATGTTACAGGATGGTGGTGATTTGATGAGCAAGGCAACTTCAGGTGTTGTCTTCTCTCTGGGATGTGTAGTTGCTGTGTGAGCACTGGATGTTGGCAGTGTCACTGCAGAGTGTGCACACAGATGTACATGCCCTGTAAAATAGTGATGTCCACTCTTTCCCCCTGCATCCCTGCACTTTCAGAAACTCTGCCTTCCTCCCCCACAGCTGCCAGTGGCAAAAAGCAAGCAGCAAAGTCAAAAGAAGAGTTAGCTCAGGAAAAGAAGAAAGAACTAGAAAAACGGTTACAGGACGTCAGTGGGCAGCTAAACAACAACAAGAAGCCTGCAAAGAAAGGTAATGGCTTTGGCTTTATGGGAAAACAGCCCCCCAAAAGTGAACAGACTTTGTCACAGGAACAAAACCTCTGCCTTGGGTTTGTCCCTATGACTGGAAGCCTCAGGGAGTTCCCACTGAGCACTGAGCTGCTGTGGGGCTGCTTTGGGAACTGCTGGGTGGTAAATGGGAGCTGTCTGGGAGGCCATTCCTCCTTCAGAGGGAGGAGGATCTTCCCTGTGTTAACCTGGTGTGCAGCCCACACCACAGAGCTTCTAACACGTGGGGTTAAAATAATCCCAAACCCCCACACAGCTCAGGATGCTCCAAAAGGTTCCCCTGGTGCAAACAAAGCTTTCACAAGGGGATTTTCTGTGCTCAGAGGTGACACTGCCCCACAGCAGAGCTCCTCTGTGCATCCCAAACTTCCACAGTCACTGGCAGTCTAAGTGGCTGTCATGGTTTCAGGTAAATTTGGAAGAAAACTTTTGAAGGAGTTCTTCTAAAAAGTATATTTAAGTGGCTTTTTTTTTAACTGGTTCAGGAAAGTATTTCTTTGGAGAAAAGTGGAAAAAAACCTCTTTATTTAATAGGCAGAGCATTTACTTGTACAAAAAAAAAAATGAACATTATTAAACAATAAAACTCTTTGCTGATTTAAAAGAGATTATAAATTCAGAAAGTCTCTTTTGTGGGCTGCAGCTGGACTTTGTCTCTTATCAGTGTTTTTGGTGTTGGAAATGCTGTGGCTCAGGCTTGGCTTGGTGGGCCACAGGTGTGAACTGTAGCTGCTCTTTTGGGTGTTCAGTTTAGAGTAGGTTTAAACAGGTCTAAAGAAAAACTACAGTTTAGGAAACTTCTCTGCTTCAGCTAGCTAAAAACTAACTAAAAGCAAAGGAGAGCTCTGTCCTGCTGTCTGTGTGTCTGTCTGCCTGCAGACAGCACAGTCCAGCAGTAGGAATGTGGAGGAGTGTGTGCATTTTCTGAAAACAAACTCCACGCTGCTTTTCTCTCCTCCTTCACCCTCAGAACCAGCTTTAAAGGTGCAAAAGTGATTATCCAGCACAAAGAGAACAATTTGGGATGGCAGCACCCTTCCCCAGCCCAGGGCAGGAGCGCTGCCACGCCGTGGGTCAGGCTGGGCACAGGGCTGAGGGCACCCCTTGTGTGTTGAGGTGAACACTCCGTGTGTGGAGACACGAGGCTTGACTATTTAGAAGGTTGATTTATTATCTTACACTAAAATACTGTATGAAAACTATACTAAAAGAACAGAGAGAAAAGAGAGATCAGAAGGCTGCAAAGAACAAGAATAGAATAGAATGCATAACAAAAATCCTGTGACTGCTCACAGCCTGGGCACAGGTGGCTGTGACTGGTCATCAATGGAAAACAATCCACATGGAGCAATGGAAGATGCACCTGTTGCATCCCACAGCAGCAGACAGTTATTGTTTACAATTCTTTCTCGGAGCTCCCAGCTCCTCAGGAGGGGAAAAATCCTAGCAGAAGATTTTCCGTAAAATATCATAGTGACCCCTTGCGTGTTTAGTAACCACATCCCTGCTTGTTCCCGCAGAGAAATCCGGCTCCACTCCCTCCGGAGGCCCCTCCCGGCTCAGCAGCAGCTCCTCCTCCGAGTCGGGGAGCAGCAGCTCCAGCGGCTCCAGCTCGGACAGCAGCGACTCGGAATGAGCGCGGACACACGGACACAACCCCCAAACGGACACCCCCTCCCGCCCCTGCTCTGCAGAGCCCCCTCCCCTCCTCACCCCCTGCTCACGGTGGTCAGGTTTTAACCTCTCTCTCTTTTCTCTGACTTGTTTTTTTTTATTTTATTTTTTAACTCAGTGTTACAAAAGATATTTTCTTTTTTTTTTTTTCTTTTTTTTTTTTGGGGGGGGGGGGGGGGGGGGGTTCTCTTTTAATAGGTCAA